ACTTTCACGCTAAGAGTCGATTTAGCAATTTATTGCCCATTGAAATAATTCGAAATGCGTGAAAATATGTAGAATAGCACCATTTTTTTAGCAAAGATTTTTAACTTGATTTTTAAAATGTAAGTAATACCACAGAATAATAATATTGTATTATACTCATAATAATACAGATTTTCAGTCAGTTAAACTATCGATTACGGATTTTCTCTCAGGCAAGTTTTACCCTGGGTTGCATTAACTTACTTCAACTAGGCATAACAAACGTCAAGTCTGTCAAACTCCACACAGATTATTGTTATGGTTAAAGTGGTGCAACTGAATTTTAAAGAACAATTTTTTTTATCCACAACGAGGAAGCTCTTGGCCTGTTGTATCTCACCTGATGGTAAGTGATGATCAGGCCAAAGGTGGAAGCATTTTTTTTCTTCATTTTAGTCCCTCAAAGGAGCATTTTAAGAGCCATACAAAATCAACCCCATTTTTAAATAACTGTCACCCCAACCGTGACAGCCAGCACGTGCTTCCGCTTTAGTTAAACTTAAACGCGGAAGTAGACGCCATTATGTTGATTTGGCGGCAAATTGTGCTCAAATAGTGAAGTGCCGAGGTTGAGTAATTAAATCGTTTTGCTAAATTAAGAAGAAAAAGTATTTATTCGATGCAAGTACCTACATCCTTAGGCAAATAAATAAATATAAATTACTATTAGAGCTCTTGGCCTGCATCTCGCCTGATGGAAACTGATGATCAGGCCGAAGATGGAAGCGAGCTTCACCCGTTGACCCGTAATCCTCGACCACAGAGGAACTGGCTATCTTACCTTCCAACTACATGCTGTTAATATTGTTATGGCGATAATTATATGCAGGTAAATAAATGAACGATCAAAGGGTAATGCTTTAAGAAAATAATAAATAATTACATATTTTAAAATAAAAGAACATAGTACTTATCTATTTATAAGCTGCGATTACAGTTAATTCATCACTGATAAACATTGACATGTTACTGATTTAATCAACGAGAATTAACGAGTTACAGGCAAAAATCATAAAATTAAATATCATTGTAATTCAACATACTATCCATTTATCTTATCCTTTACATAATTAATATCGTACATAACATCTAATAACCATAGGGGCACGTACTTAAAGCCAGGTGGTCCATAGAGTAGAAAAAAATATGAGGGTGGCCGCCATTTTGGTCTGAGAGGGGATGTCATATCCGCCGGAAGTAGAGATCGATTGATCGACTTTTTCTTTGGATTTCACCATTTTTGGGGCTCGGAAATTTAATATCTTAAATCGGAAGCCGTAAAAAAGGTTTAACGATATTTGCGAATGTTTCAAAGGTTTGCGAATTGAAATTGTAAAATTGGGCAAGCGTGAGAATTTATTGTTTCGGGGTTTAGTTGTCTTTTTTAATCCGTAAAAGCGCTTTTTAAAAGTCTACTTCCAAAAAATAAATGAGTTTTGGGAGTTTTTTTTATTCATCGTTCTTTCGGTTAAGTTTACGTCAAAAATGTTAACGTAACACGTGTTCAATAGTTTATTTGACAAGATATTTGCTTTTAGGGCATCTGGTCAGATAGCCGATAGCTGATAACGCAGAGAAATTGAAAAATGTATTATTTGGATAGTCTCCTCTGTCTGAAGTGTTGAACTGATAAGAATTTACGCGAAAACCGTTGGATTCGAATTATTATCTGTAGCTTAGCAAAATATTTTTCGTTTCATTTATGGTTATGACTAAAAATCCATCTTTGAGTTTGATTTTATTTAAGCTACCTGACCCGGCAAATGTACCTATAGCCTATGCTCACAGCTCATCAGAAATAAAGTAGGATTTTAATAGTGAAAGAATTTATCAAATCGGTCCAGTAGTTTCGGAGCCTATTCAATACAAACAATCAAATCTTTCCTCTTTATAATATTAGTGTAGAAAAATCATCTAAATAGCCATAATCCTATTGTTTAAAACTTAACAAAAGACTGAAACATTCGATTTTCAAATCCTTGTTCCATAAACAAAAGACAGCGCGTCGTCTCATTGGTCGGCGGGCAGCCAATCACGCGTCTCGCCGCAGGAGATGCGCCCCGATGCGCTTACGCGTCCTGTTACCAAGGAAATCTGATAATTACCGTCGGTAGTCAGTGGTTTGTGTAAATGTTACTATAGGGTTATTTTTTCCGGTCCCACTAGAGGGGTGCGGTTTGATGACCCTTTTACTTGTTGTAGTGGACGTGTTACGTTGATTTAAATCAGTATTGTTACGTAAAAACATCCTAATCATTACTTTACCTGTCTTTATTCTTTAAATTTTGATGCTGTTACCTTGAATTATTTGACTAGGATTAACAACAGTGAAAAGTCAATTGAGATACTTATTGCATCACGCGTAATTTTGACCGGAAGTCAACACACTTACAACTTTAAATTAAATTCAACTTAAAAATACAATGCTGTAGTGTTTGCACTGTCGAAATGACAATTGTAATGAAAAACAAATTGTTTTTAGTATAACATCTGTTGAATACACCAAGGCAACAAAACCACACAGCCTACTCCGTTGTCTATGTATATGCGCGCGCGTCGAAATGTCACTCTTTACGTCACAGCATCTTCCTGGTGCAACACCTAGTCTAAAGTTAGCTCTTTGACGTCAAATCTGATCTAGATACTAGGCAAGTTCTTTTATTGTGATTAAAATACTATTATGAAATCGCAGGCACCATGAGTATAGTTCTAAAGGGATATTGTTGAAGTAATAGTATTTTTAGAATTAGTAGCAAATTAAAATAAATATTAATTTGAAATAATACAAATTAAAAACATATTTTAGAGAAGAAAATAGCGAAGCCTACCTAATCATTTGAATAAAAAAATAGAAAATAATTATTAGAAGATTAACACAAAATAAGTTATGACTTAAAAAAAAGGATCTCAATTGACTAAGTCAATTTTGAATCTTTCAGAACTTGATTTGGATTGAAGCAAAGATTTAGGCTAATCACATTACACAAGTTCTAACATTATCCACTATTGCTTACAGATGTTATGCATAAAAAAAAGATGTAGTATGGAACTAAGGAAGGGGGCCTAAAAGTAAACATTGCGGCATTCTATGTACTTTTAATAGGTGTTATGTTGCAACAAAATGTATAGGCGGAGAGCGTGGGCAGGCCTCCCACTTGGTGGACCGACGATCTGGTGAAGGTCACGGGAGGGGCCTGGACCCGTCGTCATGGAAACCCTTGGAGGAGGCCTTTGTCCAGCAGTGGACGTCATTTGGCTGACGAACGAACGAACGATGTTGCAACAAAATGGATTCTCATGTACCGACCATTCAATTACTCGAAATACATTGGGAATGTTAACATTGATTGTTGGTGTTTAATCACCAAACAAAACGCTTGCAGTGACGCAATTTCATACGAGTTGCGAAATCGTGACGCCATTTTGCCTTAACCTCGTAAGCCCGGATGTGCCTCAGAAGGAACTGAAACTTTGTAGTCAGTAACGCCGAGACATTTTCGGAGGTGATTTCGAAGTATCGCCGGATGTGCCTTCAGAGGAACTTAAACTTTAGCGACAAATTTAAGTTAAAAAATTCGCGCCTATCGAAAAAAAAGAGTGATAGTCTATGGCTTAAAGTATTCAAAATCAGGTATCCGAACTTATTAATATAAAAAAAACAAAATGTCACTGTCAAATTATCATTTTTCTTTGACAAGGTGGTTCGTCCGAAAAGACGTGATGTGCGATTAATTTTTTTTCTTCACGTAAACGTAGTTTAATTGCAAAACTGACCAGTATAATTTAAGTTAAAATACTGCTAAACAAGCAAAAATATTATTTTTCCCAATTTGAAGTAGTTTTGCAAGATTTTTTTTCGTTTGAAAATAATAGTTCTTTGCAAGGAACATTCGGTCTTGATGGTGAAAGTTTTATTTTTATATATTTTTTCTATTGAGATGGGATTGAGTATTGGACTTTTAAAATTATGATATGATTGAGAAAATTTACCATGAGAACGTTCTGATTTTTAGTTTAGTAAATATTATAATTAACATGAATATTCACTTTACTTCTTGTACATTCTAACCTATCATTAGAGTATGTTATAAAACCGATAGTTCTTTTAAAAGTACTAATTATGAAACATTAAATAAAATTAAATCCGTTGTTCCTTCTCAGTTACATTTATTAATATCATTATTGTATCTTTATGTAGTATTAATTTATTAAGAAGGTTACATTTATGTTTTACTTTAAAGTATAAAATACAATGTATTTACTTTTCCTTTTGAAAGTCTGTAATACCGAATGTTCTTTAAGGAGAAAACATTTTTTTATTATTTTTCAACTAAAATAAGCTCTATGCACCATTATATAGGGCCCCTGAAAATATGAATGCAAAAGAAAATCTCTAACATAGAATTTTTTTTACTCAAAGTGCTCGGCGTTTACTACTACAAATTATTCGTTCTTCTGAAAGCACATTCGGCGATACTTAGAAGTCGACAAAATTTACTCTTCGGTCTTACGAGGTTAAGAGAATCATTTGACACACTTGTTGCACTTAGTTTTAAGTGACTTCCATTAGGCTTTTGTAATGTTTTGCTAAAGTAAATAAAAGCAAGGCTCCATATTTTTTTCTTTTGCCTCCAGTGTTAAGAAAAAAAAACATGACAACATAAAGGAAAACCTCCTCCTTTTTGAAGTCGGTTAAAAAGCTTCAAATTCTAAAAAAAATCTAATCATCTTTGCCATGCTTCAAATTATTGTTCTAAAAAAAAGATAAATACTTGACCGCATCGTTTGACGTATNACCCCACACTGTCCAGTAGTGGTAGAGTTTATTCGTTACAAACACAAAAATACAAATATTTCCTCTTACTATACAATGTAGTCTGGTCTGCGAGCACATAGAACACTCACTGCGGGCGCCCGTCGCACAGTCGCGACAGCAATATAATAACGAGCGAGCGATAAGGATGGGTAGCTTGGGGTCATTGTACAAAATTCTACGTGCTCACAGACCGGGCTTTAGTATAACATTGTAAATAAGTAATCGATGAAGATAGATACCAACCTTCTCATTGACCCTCACAGGTCTGGCACTGAACGCGACTCCTTTACAGAACGATTCCACTCGCCTCGCGATGGAGCCATCCCTCGAAATCCTGACGTTCTCCCCGTGGACGCTATGGAAGCCCAGCGGTGGGAGGTTGTTGGGGGTCCCGCCCGTGCACGAGGTGCGAGGCGCTGTAACAATGGAGAAGAACGTGAATACTTGTCTATGGTGCAATAATCCAAGGATTCTGAAACGTCGAGGGACAAAAATCAAAATCTGACAACCTAGTATTATTGATGTAAATGTCACAATTATAAACGGTTGTCCAACGTGGCAAATATCGGAACTAATAATCCCGTTTAAATAGTAGCGCCCACCTGTCAATGTCATAGCTGGGACGGTTCATTGTTTGGACATCTTTAAAAGTATTTGACATTACCAATGGATTGACGTACTTTTAAAAACTGTCAAAACCTAGATTTTGTAGGGCAATACAGGCCAATCTCGTCACTATTTTGCAAAATCAATTGACTAACTTTTTATCAATTACAAAGCAAAAAAAACATAATTTACAGTTGATTTAAAATTATTTGAGTTTTTAAGACCAGAATGAAGTGCGTTTTTAAAAAAGGTGTGCTTTAGAATTTAAAGTATTTAATTTGATTTTCAAGTTATTTATTTAACTGCAGTGACACCAAAATACATTTGACATCTTTTAAATTCTCCCTAAAAGCGCATTTACTACAGTAAAATTCAAGAACAGTCATTCATTGTGGTCTCCCCTTCGATCAACCCCCAAGATGGCCACCTGCGTGGCAGATGCTTTGAACTAACGCAGCTTGCGCGTGCGCTTGACAACCAATTCTCGCTTTATTCCCTAGAAGTTAAGGTTTAAATTCCTATTAGTAAGTTGCAAGTTAAACGTAACATACAGCTGTGAAACCCAATTAAATTAAGTCTTACGTTTATGTACTAGAAGTGAACGAAATGTCAAATATAATGCAATGTTTGCTAATATGTTAGCAAAAGGAAATTACAAAGAAAGTATGACCTTTTCTATAAATGACAATACTAAAGCAGGTGTAGAGAAATTGACATTTGTTTTTGTGGCCAGTTAATTTACTGAAAAAGAAAATAAATTGTATAATGCTAGGTGACATTTTAGAAAATGTACCATTTTCTCTACTCTGAAGGTACCTAGTACTGTAGATGTTATAATAATTATTGTTACGTTGGTATCACTAAACTATAAACTGTCACTCTCTCATTGATTTTATTTTTCCATCAAAATTATATTGTTGTATTTTATTTGTATATTTTTTATCTTTACCAAAGTAATTATAATTTAAAAAATAGCCCAGAAGAGATATACAGGGTAGTTATTATGTATATTTTCCTTTCTTCTTAACATCTTTCCAGATTTCTTTTCCTAAAACATCGTAAAAGTCTATTATGCTTATCCACGAATGCTATTAATCTTCAAAAAGCTTTTAAAAGCTCAGCTTTATATCGACTTTCACGCTAAGAGTCGATTTAGCAATTTATTGCCCATTGAAATGCGTGAAAATAATTATGTAGAATAGCACCATTTTTTAGCAAAGATTTTTAACTTGATTTTAAAAATGTAAGTAATACCATAGAATAATAATGTACTAACTATATTCATAATAATACAGTTTTTCAGTCAGTTAAATTATAGATGACGGATTTTCTCTCAGGCAAGTTCTACCCTGGGTTGCATTATCTTACTCAGTATAACAAACGTCAAGTCTGTCTTACTTACAGATTAATAGTTATGGTTAAAGTGGTGCAACTAAATTTTAAAGAACAAATTTTTTTTAACCACAACGTGGAAGCTCTTGGCCTGTATCTCACCTGATGGTAAGTGATGATCGGGCTGAAGGTGGAAGCATTTTTTTTCTTCATTTTAGTCCCTCAAAGGAGCATTTTAAGAGCCATACAAAATCAACCCCATTTTTAAATAACTGTCACCCCAACCGTGACAGCTAGCACGTGCTTCCGCTTTAGTTAAACTTAAACGCGGAAGTAGACGCCATTATGTTGATTTGGCGGCAAATTGTGCTCAAATAGTGGAGTGCCAAGGCTGAGTAATTAATCATTTAATGCTAAAATAAGAAAAAATATTTATATTAGAGCTCTTGGCCTGTATCTCGCCTGATGGAAACTGATGATCAGGCCGAAGATGGAAGCGAGCTTCACACGGAATACTCAACCACAGAGGAACTGGCTATCTTACCTTCAAACTACATGCTGTTAATATTGTTATGGCGATAATTATATGCAGGTAAATAAATGAACGATCAAAGGGTAATGTTTTAAGAAAATAATTAATAATTACATATTTTAACATAAAAGAACATAGTACTTATCTATTTATAAGCTGCGATTACAGTTAATTCATCACCGATAAACGTTGACATGTTACTGATTTAATCAACGAGAATTAACAAGTTACAGGCAAAAATCATAAAATTAAATATCATTGTAATTCAACATATTATCCATTTATCTTATCCTTTACATAATTTATATCGTACATAACATCTAATAACCATAGGGGCACGTACTCAAAGCCAGGTGGTCCATAGACTAGAAAAAAATATGAGGGTGGCCGCCATTTTGGTCTGAGAGGGATGTCATATCCGCCGGAAGTAGAGATCGATTGATCGACTTTTTCTTTGGATTTCACCATTTTTGGGGTTCGGAAATTTAATATCTTAAATCGGAAGCCGTAAAAAAGGTTTAACGATATTTGCGAATGTTTCAAAGGTTTGCGAATTGAAATTGTAAAATTGGGCAAGCGTGAGAATTTATTGTTTCGGGTTTTCGTTCTTTTTGTTCTGTAAAAGCGCTTTTTAAAAGTCTACTTGCAAAAAAGTGTTAGTTTACGGTTAAGTTTACCTCAAAAATGTTAACGTAACACGTGTCCAATGGTTTATTTGGCAAGATATTTGCTTTTAGGGCATCTGGTCAGATAGCCGATTGTTGATAACGCAGAGAAATGGAAAAATGTATTATTTGTGTTGAACTGATAAGGATTTATGCGAAAACCGTTGGATTCGAATTATTATCTGTAGGTTAGCAAAATATTTTTCGTTTCATTTATGGTTATGACTAAAAATCCATCTTTGAGTTTGATTTTTAAGATAGCTGACCCGGCAAACGTATTGCCTATGCTCATCAGAAATAAACTAGGATTCTAATAGTGAAAGAATTTATCAAATCTGTCCAGTAGTTTCGAAGCCTTTCCAATACAAACAAACAATCAAATCTTTCCTCTTTATAATATTGGTGTAGAAAAATCATCTAAATAGCCATTCCTATTGTTTAAAACTTAACAAAAGACTGAAACATTCGATTTTCAAATCCTTGTTCCATAAACAAAAGACAGCGCGTCTCATTGGTCGGCGGGCAGCCAATCACGCGTCTCGCCGCAGGAGATGCGCCCCGATGCGCTTACGCGTCCTGTTACCAAGGAAATCTGATAATTACCGTCGGTAGTCAGTGGTTTGTGTAAATGTTACTATAGGGTTATTTTTTCTGGTCCCACTAGAGGGGTGCGGTTTGATGACCCTTTTACTTGCTGTAGTGGACGTGTTACGTTGATTTAAATCAGTATTGTCACGTAAGACTTCATTTTAATTACTTTAGCTGATAATATTATTTAAATTTTGATGCTGTTACCTTGAATTATTTGACTAGGATTAACAACAATTAATAGTCAATTGAGATACTTATTATATCACGCGTAATTTTGACCGGAAGTCAACACACTTACAACTTCAAATTAAATTCAACTTAAAAATACAATGCCGTAGTGTTTGCACTGTCGAAATGTCAATCGTAATGAAAAATAATAGTTTTTAGAAGAACATTCTGTTGAACACCAAGGCAACAAAACCACACAGCCTACTCCGTTGTCTATGTATATGCGCGCGCGTCGAAATGTCACTCTTTACGTCACAGCATCTTCCTGGTGCAACACCTAGTCTAACTTTAGCTCTTTGACGTCAAATCTGATCTAGATACTAGGCAAGTTCTTTTATTGTGATTAAAATACTATTATGAAATCGCAGTCACCATAAGTATTGTTTTAAAGGGATATTGTTGAAATAACAGTATTTTTAGAATTAGTAGCAAATTAAAATAAATATTAATTTGAAATAATACAAATACATATTTTAGAGAAGAAAATAGCGAAGTCTACCTAATCATTTGAATAAAAAAATAGAAAATTATTAGAAGATTAACACAAAATAAGTTATGACTTTAAAAAAAAGGATCTCAATTGAATAAGTAAATTTTCAAACTTACGGGACTTGATTTAGATTATTTTAATCATAAATAGCTGCATTTCAAGATTTAAGCAAACCAAAAGTTTTAACAAATATCCACTATTTTAAGTATTGCTAAGTTTTTTGACAAAAGTATCCACTATTGCTAATGAACGTAGTATGGAACTATGGAAGGGGGCCTAAAAAGTAAACATTGAGGAATTCTATGTAGGTACTTTTAATAGGTGCTATGTTGCAACAAAATGTAGGTGCCAGAGCGTGGGCAGGCCTCCCACTAGGTGGACCGACGATCTGGTGAAGGTCACGGGAACGCGGGCAGCGCAGGACCAGTCGTCATGGATACCCTTGGAGGAGGCCTTTGTCCAGCAGTGGACGTCATTTGGCTGACGAACGAACGAACGATGTTGCAACAAAATGGATTCTCATGTACCGACCATTCAATTACACGAAATACATTGGGAATGTTAACATTTTTTGTTGGTGTTTAATCACCAAACAAAACTGCTTGCAGTGACGCAATTTCATACGAGTTGCGAAATCGTGACGCCATTTGCCTTAAGAGAATCATTTGACACACTTGTTGCACTTAGTTTTTAAGTGACTTCCATTCCATTAAGGCTTTTGTAATGTTTTGCTAAAGTAAATAAAAGCAAGGCTCCACATTTTTTTCCTTTGCCTATTCCAGTGTCAAGAAAAAGGTTTAAATTCTAAAAATAAATCTAATAATCTATGCCTCTGCTTCAAAAAAAAAAGATAAATATGTACTTGACTGCACCATTTGACATGCAAACAATGTCAAGCATTTCTCTATGGTGTCAAGTGGCCAGTGCGTACGTCAAACATTTTAAAAAGTTTGTTTACTTGTTGCCACATTA